GCATACTTCCGAGCAGAAAAGAAGCGAGGCTTAACGCGGCTGCTTTTCAATCTTTTTTCCCCTAGACTCCGGTTCGTTTAATCCGCGCGAAATTTCGCAAGAACTCGTCGGTTGTTATTCGCGCGAGCCACCCTGCCCGTGGGAGTGGGCAGACTTCGTCTCCATGCAAATAACGCAATTAAGAGAACCGAATATGGCCGAGATAACGTTCTTTACCGCAAACAGTCGAGATTTCCTGGCCATTTCCCTTCTTACCTGTATCTTGGCCGGCGATTTGCATGAAAAGCCGGCTTGAATCGAGCCACGACGTTTCTTCTTTTACCGAAGAGCCTTGCACCTTCGAGCCAATTCTGCGAAGGAAACGGAACGGGAGAAGGGAAATATTGTTGGGAAGAAGAACTGTTCCTTTGTATAGGGTGTCCCATGTAGTTATATTTAAATTCACAAATTAAGTTTTTTTCATGTCAAGTTTTCTGTAACGACAGTTTTAGAATGTGGATGATTTCTTGAAAATGAAAATTAATTGAATTAATTTGTGCACCTAATACCTCTGAATTATTTAACCTCTTTGAATTAGTCTTAAAAAATTTTGTTCACAGTGTATTAAAAAATTGATCTACTTAAGAAGTAAACCTGTTACATTAACAAAAAATTAATATTACTTAAAAGTAAGCTTTGCAGCCTTCGAAATGTTTTCCAGCATTTTTCAATCTAGCAGTTTTCACCAAAGACTCGTCTCAGTCTCATGGGGCAGCCTGTATAGAATTGTGCAGGTGGGGAGATTGCAAGTTTGAATTGGAACGATGGAAAGAGCAAGAGGTTGATTTTCTTCGCGGCGAGTAAGTGATTCACGAGTTCGTTTGCTCGATTCTTCCTGGCGTTACGGTAATTCCTCTTTCTTTTTCATCTGTATTCATCTCTGACGAGGGGAAAATCACGGAGAATTTATTATTCCCGATCCCGTTAAAAAAATACTTCCAAGTAGTCCGTTCGATTGTTAACGGTGCCGTTCGGGCGCGTGACCGGAATAAAGATGGCGGCGCTTTAATCGCGTACGTAGAAAAATCGAACGGGCCTCGCGCGAAGAGTGAAAGAGTGTGTTTCGCGAGAAGCTGATTTTCGAGGGATACAGAAACGTGATCGGTATTCCAAACGAGCACGTTTGTGGAAAGAAGTTCGTTACAGTAACGAAGCAACGAGAACCTTCTCCCTGGTGCTGTTCTTAATTTTCTTTCGGGATAACACGATGGAAGCGACGAGAATCGGTAAATCTTACCTTGGAAAAATTACGTTGTTCTGTTTGATGATGATCTTAGGACTTTTGGGTCAGTTGTGATACAACTGTGGGTTAAATTTAATAAACCACTTGGTGAAACCGCCATCTTTTAGTTGCCACTTTATGTCCGTGTATTTTGTAACGTCAGAATATTTCTAGGAGCTTTATTATCGTTGATAGAACCTTCCTCTATAATTTCATCCATCATCAATTAAAAATGAATTACATTCTGGTACAGTTGCGTGATTCGCCGTTGTTCGTACTAGCAAGATTCTTGTGATTTATTACGCGGAGGTGTTTCAATTTATTCCATTACGAATTTTCAGTCTGACCTGTTCTTTTATTACTTTGCTCTTAATCGTTGTTTTCTCATATATAACTCAGATGTTGCTCTTAATCGTTGCTTTTCCTCATGTACAACTCATATGTATGTCCTAGTTATTTTCTCATGTGTGACTCATATGTTGTTCTTAATCATTGCTGTCTCATATGTAACTCTCATGTGTATATGGATCTTAATAATAATTTTCTAACACATACGACATATTATAGACTCTTAAGTGTTATACACTTATCATACATGCATTACACATATCATACACATTTTATACACTTAAATATTTTAGTATCCTTAGATGTATTTATACACATATTATACATATCATACACATTTAACTTATCATACATGTATTACACATATCATACACATTTAACTTATCATACACACATCATACATATCATACACATATTATACACTTAAATATTTTAGCATCCTTAGATGTATTTATACATAGACAGGCTATGCAAATACTTTGAACATTCACATATGCATAAAACAATTAAATTATCGAGTCAAAATAAAAGACATCTTATCGAGCGAATCATATACTTCGGTATGGAATAAACGTAGAGAAACAAGTTACTATAACCCTAGCTAACGAAACAATTACAATAGAAACCAAACTCCTACTCTGATAAATCGTTTGATTTCTCAAGTGCTTCGATTCTGCTTATAAAACGAATTTCCCGTTCCGTCTCCGGCATGAGAAATGTCTTTCATCTTCCATTAGTCTTACGTTCCGGCTACAGAAAAGAATAACAAAGCGAGGGAATTGAAAGGACAGAAATCTTTTTCCCACCTCTTCATGGTTTTACCCTGGCATTCTCATCGAGAAGGTTATTCACCGTCTACCGGGGTGAAGTTAAGAGGCGAGTCCATCCCCTTTGTCAGCCGTTTCGACGTTAACAAGAGGAGGGTCTTCCGCATCTCATTGTTGCGACAGCTTCGATGGATTCTCCTGCACAGGTGTCGATCGGCTTCTTCTTTAAAAGCGAACCAGTTTTCTGTAAATACTCGCTTTTACGATTCACTGTCGGTACGAGATCTCAAGGTTAATCTGAAAGTTGAACGTCGATGAAGACAGGAACTTTACAAATTTAGAAATACTGAAATATTACATTTTTGAAGGGTCGTCAAAACCTTGCAATTTTATCTTCGTGACGGATTTTGGACAGAAATGTTACCCTATGACAAGGGTGTTCGAAGCGATTCCGCAGAACGACATAAAAAAACTATGTTAACATTGTGTGAGCCCAGTGCTGTATTGATGCAGATGCATTTTGTATAAAAAAAATTAATTCTTTTCTTTTTATTTAAAAAGTTCCGTTATTTTTCCAACTGTGTATAATTTTTTAATACCGTGTATAAATTTGAGAAGCATAAGATTAAGAAATTGCAGGAGAAATATACAAACGAAAAGTTTTCAAATTGCGAGATCAATTCATCATTGCCCGGAAGTGCCCGCGGCTGCCCAGCGAAGAACGAAAGAAGGGTAAAGTTGAGAGTGCGCGAAGTGGAACGAGTTTCGAAGAGTGTCTCGTAAATCACGGACCATTCGTCGGTTTCGTTGAATTTCCGTGACGACATATTGTTCTCGATCGAGACACGTTCTATAAATCAGAAACAGTCCCGAACAAAACCGAGACGGTTCGGGTTCAAGAAGCACCGGAAGTTTCGAACGCGTCACAAACGAAGCTGCAGGCGGATTGGCAGCTAATCAAATCGCGCGGATGAGATAGGACCGAATGAAGGAGATTTATTGTAAGTAAATAGAATTAGGAGTTACGAGTGCCTTGAGTAACCTCTGCCACCGGCTGACGTTAACCCGACTGGAGCTAACCTGACCTAACTAAATAATCGAATTAGAAACACCGTCTCCGATGTGCTTGTCCCGTGTCTACGGAATCCTAGGATGCGCTTCTTGTCTTCTGTGTGCTGGGGTCAGAATCGCCCTTGCCTCGGGCACAACTTTCTTACTCTATTTCATATCGTTCTACAGAATTTGGATTGAAGTCAGAAGAATTAAGATAATGATTTTGTCTTTTGTCCCTGCTAAATTGAAGTTTTTGAATTTACGTATTGTAAGTTCTTTTTCGAAACTTTTAAATTGTAAATTCCAATGTTCCCGGTTTCTTAAATTCCCAAATTCCAAAATTCTAAAAATTTCAAAAATTCCCAAAGTACTCAAAATTTCCAAATCCTAAAATTCCTAAAATTCTCAAACTTCCCATAATTCCTGAAATTCCTAGAATTCCAAAACTTCCTATAATTGCTGAAATTCACAAAATGTCCAAAAATTCAAAAATTCACAAAATTCCCCAAATTCCCAAAATTGCTAAAATTCCCAAAATGTCCAAAAATTCCAAAATTCACGAAATTCACGAAATTCCCCAAATTCCCAAACTTCCCAAAATTGCTAAAATTCCCAAAATGTCCAAAAATCCCAAAATTCACAAAATTCCCCAAATTTCCAAAAATCCCCAAATTCCCCAAATTCCCCAAATTTCCAAAAATCCCCAAATTCCCCAAATGCCCTAAATGTCCAAAATTCCCATAATTTCACAGAATTATCGCACCACGTGACCCAAGAATTATTATTATTGATTAATTGCAGATTTCGAGGCTCGGTATCATCATTAACCCGTCGTGTAATTTGAGGAGTTATTAGTATTAAATCCCATAATTGTCAGTAGCATTTGCAACGAGCTATAAACCACTTTCTCCTCTCAGACAATATATAGCTACTATAGAACATTTGATGACATAATCGGCTTCTAGTGTTGAGTCCTTAGGGTCATCATATATCAGGTATCAAGACATACGAGTATCAAGGCTATGAATCATGTTTCATGGTTGTCAATATTGCCTTGATGGAATATTACCTCTTTGACTGTATTGTGTGGTGTATTGATTATTAGATCATCAGAACTGTTATCTATTTTAAGTTAAATCTAGATATGTACTTTTATATATATAAACTTAATGTACTCTAGTATAAATACTTTTGTTATTAGTTTTCATAATAGAAATACATATAAAGAGTTCGTCCGGAGAGTCAGCGACATCTGCATGTTAAAAGAATGATTAACCTCAAAACTTATTATAATAGAATTAAAGGGATGAATAACTTAAAAAATAGCTTAATGTCAAGTATCAATTTTATTAAAAACTTTCGTTGATATAAATAAATGATTAATGACTGAAGTACTCGTAAAACAAGATGGAGTCTCATGTATCATATATGAATCACATATGTTGATTACAAGCATGCTTGTTCAAAAGTTGCAGTTTCTTGACTAATTAAATATTATTCTGTGACTGACAAGATACTGGTGTATGGTTACTGATAATATACTAATATATTATTTTACTTTTTTGTTGCAGGATAAATGAAAATACTACGAGATCACAGTTTCTGGCATACTTCAGTTTCTCCTCCAAAGCAAGCATATCTGTTGGCTGGCCTGTGAAAGGTGGAGACACTGTGAATAATACTGGTGAGTCAGACTCTTCTTATATTGCATTATAATATAATATGGCATATACTAAACGCAATCGTTAAATAAACTGTACAGTTTTTTAATTTGTACCATTTCACTTATGAAATTGATATACTTTAATACAATGTGCTAAGTTTAAAATTATACAATATACAAAAATCTAATAATAGAAATAATACTATATAAATAATAATAAATCTAATAATAGCAATAATAATAAATAATAAATAATAATATAATAAGAATCTAAATACAAAAAATCTAATAATAGAAATAATACTATATAAATAATAATAAATCTAATAATAGCAATAATAATAAATAATAATATAACAATAAAATATAAAATAACTATCCTTCATACCCATAACAATTAAATAAGCAATAAAATAAAAACATCGAAAGAGACCAATCGCAGTATCGATTATGAAAAGCAAAGAAAAACAACCTACTTCGTTAATGAAGTTGCTTTAACGAACATACCCTGTCTTTTTATCAAAATCACACGTCAAAAAGAATATCGCGAAACCATGGAACTAGACGGAATTACACCATTACGTAAACTCACCTTTCCAGTATCGAACAGACACAGAATCGAACGAGTACACGAAATTGTCCCAGCCAGCAGATCAAACATTGATCCAACCAGTCGGTAGCTTCGTTACTGATAACTTTATCTCCCTGCAGGATATTATGCGATCGTATCATTAACGAGTACATTTTCGTTCGTAATAGACCAATACCACGGATCAATGATACGCGATATCTATTCCCTATCTTGTTTCATGATCCATGTACATCGATACGATATTAAAAAAAGTCCTCCGGAAATGATCTATGAAAGCACTCGCTTTGCAATCTCGAAATTCGCGATTTTTATACAAACTTGTAAAGTTTTATATCCATTCGAATTTTAATATTCTTAGGCTTTATATTTATTCTTACATTCTATATATATTTCAATTTTAATATTCTTAAATTTCATGTCTATTTCAATTTTAATATTCTTAAATTTCATGTCTACTTCAATTTTAATATTTTTAAATTTCATGTCTATTTCAATTTTAATATTCACAGATAGATTTGCAATTTCATATTCTCAAATTTTATATCTATTTTAATTTTAATATTTTAATTTCTACGTGCATGTTATTTCTAATATCTCAACTTTTACATTCTAATTCTATATTTTAATACTTTATTTCATATCTGTGAATTCGAACAATTTATCCGTAGAATCGACGGTGCATGCAACATAACCTCAATTCAGGAACCGAACCTTCACAACTTCCATCTTTGAAAAAATAAAATAATACACGAGTATGAATAGTTATTCCCAACCTTCTAAAATCTTAATCTACAAAAATATTTCTATTTATTTTTACTATAAATCATATATACACACATGAAATTTGTCACATATGTGCACATATGCTTCCATACACTTGTACCGACTTCATCAAACTTTAAACAAATTCCCCAATTTTGATGACTCGAGTATCGACATAAACGTATTGCATACAAAATTACGGTAATTGATTTCAAATAGAAACAGGGAATGCAAAATGTATGTTAATGTGTTCAAGTACTGTGTACATGTATACGAAACATTATCTGATTAGAGTCATTTGCACAGGAACTTGTTTTCGAAATGTAGAGGCACTTCTGAATTTGAAACATGCAGCTCCACTTGAAACGTTCCGATACTCATCCGACATTGCGGAGGATTAAATTAATTAAACTTGGGAGGAAGATTATATTGCGATCGTTCTTGAAATTTTTATTAACCTCTCGTATTAAACTTTTCAATTTATCGTTCATGAATTTCATGTTGACGAATTCTTTTGTGCGACGTAATTAACTTGTAATTACATTATCTGATAAATCTTTATTGTACTGTATTGTTAATATGTTACATAAAATACAGTGCACAATATATGTTATATAAATTGTCAAACATAAATGAATTTATATTTTGCTTTCATTGCAATTTAGTGCACATATGTTTTTGTAGTAATAGTCTTCCATGGTATTATTTTAAAACATTAAAAATTTACAATGTTATACAACACTTTTTACTTAACTTTTAAAATAGAGAAGATTTATTATTTTATTATTGTTGTCCGCAAAAATTCAAAAACATATTTTTCTCAAAATTAAGAAAGGCAAAGGGTTGCTCAACGAATCTGTTCTTACTTGAATATTAAATACTTGTTCTTTAATAAAGTATTCGAAACTCGCATTTTAAATGTTAAAACCAAGTATTCAAATTTAATTTAAACAACGTGGTGCAATTAAACGTCGAATAACAAAGTAAAGTTGTTAATCATTCGCCCTCACGAAGTTCCAAAACCACACGCAGTACCAAAACAATAACTAAGGCAATGAAGATAAAACACTCTAATGATACCGAAACTTGCCGAGACATAAATCCGATTTTCCTTATAAGCACCTTCTTGAACACTCAAAAGCAACTATTAATCCAGTAGCTAAATCCAGAACAGTTTCATCGAGCTCACTTTCGCAAGTTCGCCCATTCCATTTGCCATTCCCAGCTCTGCCCACAGTCGTTCCAGCGATCATTACCATCAGATAATTTGCTAGATGGTCCACCATTGCGAACGAAACGTTACAGCCATTTAACCCTCATGCCGATTGTTATACGATTTTAACCGAATTTTCAGGCCGGACACTTTTCGAACTGATTTCACAGGGATCGGCGGTTCTCGTCGTTAACGTTTCCTCCCTTTGACCGCCGAAATTTCCCTTGCACCCTTATTCGGTTAAGCCCGAACTGTCCCGCACTTAAGCTCGCATAATTTTCGTTTTAACTAGGCAGAAATTTCGCCTCTGTTCTGTTTGCGCAAGGAAATTTCTGCGTCCAACGACAACCCCTATCGTCCCACCCTCTTCGAGCAACGTTCTGTTCCTCTTCCGACCGTTCTGGAATTAACGTCGAGTGCAAACGTTCCCTGGGTTAGAGGGTCCTCGAAACCGGAGCCTTTCTCACATTTTCTCACCGGATTTCACTCGGCAAAAGAATGCCCTTATCCCGTGGCCTCTGTTGGGGAAACTCTTCCCTCTTTTCTTCAAGCGTCGCCGGACTTGAATCTTGCGGACGATCAACGAGATGTTCGGATTTAACCGGTGGACCATGTGTGCGGGAAACTTTCGAAATTACTTTTTCCACCATTTTCACGACACTCATATTACTTTGTTAACATTAGTCTTGTAACGATGGAGACTTTAGAAGTTTGCTACTTTCGGATTTTCGAAAGTTTGGACTTTGAAAACTTTACGAGGTAAAAACTTTGAAATCTTCGGATTTTAGTATTGTCGAGGATAGTGGCACTTTAAGATTTGGGAACTTTAAGAGCTTAGGGGTTTTAAGACCTTGGAAATTTGATAATCTGGATTTTGGGAGTTGGGAAGTGGGACCTTGGAAGTTTAGCGTCTTGAAAGTTTGGGGGCTTAGACCTTGTGGTCTTCGAAGTTGCACGGTGACTTTAGAAGTGTGGGAATTTTATTATCTGGGGATTTTGGAATTTTGGATCTTTGGGAATTTTGGTATTTTGGGACTTTGAGAGTTTAGGAATTCAAGGATTTAGGACTTCAAGGGCTTAGGACTTTAAGAGTTGAGGATCTTATGATTTTAGGATCTGAGCCTCTGCTGATTTAGGGACTTTAGGAACTAGAATCTTGGGGACCTTGGAAATTTTACAATCTGGGGATATTAGGACTTTGGATCTCCTGGAACTTGAAATTTTGGGACTTTGAGAGTTTAGGAATTCAAGGGTTTAGGACTTCAAGATTTGGGAATCTTATGATTTTAGGATCTGAGCCTCTGCTGATTTAGGGACTTTAGGAACTAGAATCTTGGGGACCTTGGAAATTTTACAATCTGGGGATATTAGGACTTTGGATCTCCTGGAACTTGAAATTTTGGGACTTTGAGAGTTTAGGAATTCAAGGATTTAGGACCTCAAGGGTTTAGGACTTCAAGAGTTGAGGATCTTATGATTTTAAGATCTGAGCCTCTGCTGATTTAGGGACTTCAGGAACTAGGATCTTAGGGACCTTGGAAATTTTACAATCTGGGGACTTCAGAACTTTGGATCTCCAGGAACTTGGGATTTTGGGGCTTTGAAAGTTTACAACCTTGATATGTTACAATTTGAAAATTTTCCAACTTGATAATTTTAGAAATTTGGAACTTCAGAACCTTGGTACCTAGAATCTCACAATCTTAGTGCCCCAAAAATCTAGGGACTTTGCATCCTTGATATCTCATAACCTTGAAACCTTAAATTAAAGAATTTTTAATCTTGAAAAAACCTTACAATTATCAAATTTCTGAACTTGAGACCTCCATAATTCCCCACATGCTAATACACTCTCAAGCCCATCTCTACACCCACAAAAATATCACCACTCTAAATCTCCCTAATCCAATTCACTTCACAATTAATAATCCTTTAATTCCTCAACAACAACTTGCATAATACATATAATACACTTGCATGATTCATACGCATATCTACGAAATAATTTACTCCCGCGAGGATTTACTGCTGAGCGGAATTGAACACGATTCCGCCACAAAATGGACGCACATTCGTCACGCCGTTTCCAGGAAACGAGTAGTATAAAAAAAATGAACTGAAACATCGTAAAAATGTTGCATCGATGTAACTGGAAGTTGAAATACATGTCGTTTCAATACCAGATCATTTTTCTGTATCCTTTTTCTCTTTTTTTTTTTGGAAAAAACCGAACTGGAGAGCGTTATGCGTGGGGCAATCATTTTTATCTCGAGTACCTTGACGAAGTTCAATTTGAAGCGTTTGTTAATAATCCGACGTATCGATCGAGCGCTGTCGGTGTAAGGCTCAATTTTGGTGTCTATAAATTATTCATTGTTCTCGCAGCGAGGTGCAACGTGCGTGTAAGTAATATGTATGCTGTGCACAATACGGTGAGATAATTGGCACGCTATC